TTATGAGCCGGTGGCCCATCAGGCCAGAGCTTAACTCCAGTTTCCACAGCATGAAGTGACTAGGGTACTTCTACTACCCCCCATGGATGGAATGCTACTCACTTCCATTGCAGGGTTACCCCCCAGCATTAAATTTGCTGGTACCCATTTAAAACACCTGGGTAAAGAGAGGCACTGTGAGTGTAAAGTGTCTTGCCCAAGAACACAACAATGTCCCCAGCCAGGGCTCAAACCCGGACCACTTGATCCTGAGCTGAGCACACCTAAACCATGAGGCCACCATGTCTCCCTATTGGTTGAGAGACAGGTGTGAATTTTTTGCACTTATTACAAAGTGAAGTAGAGCAAAACCAATGCAATCCTGGATGATCATTCAAGTTCCAGATTACTTTTTACCATAGTTGAAAAGTAATTCAGACATATATTTGACCTAGTATTGCAAAATTTGCTTACAGTAAGTTGTTAGGCACACAGCAAAGTACTATTTCCAGCCCTTTTCCCATCCTTATTTTCATTTTTCAGACAAAAGGCTATGAGTCACATCACATGATCTGAGTGGATACCTGTTTTCAATGGTTTTGGTCTCAACATTACAAGGTCACCTATTAAATTGATAATGTGGAGGCACGGTGGCCTCATGGTTAGTGCGCTCGACTCCGGATCGAGTAGTCCAGGTTCGTGCCCCAGCTGGTACATTGTGTTGTGTTCTTGGGCAAGACACTTTCCTCTCACAGTGCCTCTCTTCACCCAGGTGTATAAATGGGTACCGGCAAATTTAATGCTGGGGGATAACCCTGCGATGGACTAGCATTCCATCCTGGGAGGAGTAGAAATACTCCTAGTCGCCTCATGCTACAGAAACCGGAGTTAAGCACCAGCGTAATGGGCCACTAGGCTCGTAAACAGACTTTACTTTTTTACTACTAAATTGATAAAATGTTTTACAAAATCTTTTTTCATTGTTATGTCTTAAAAAAGATCTCACCTAGCAAGTAAGCAGTTGTAGCCGCTTGCTCAAAAACAAACAAACAAACAAAAAACAGAAACAACAAAGAAACAATGAGAGCATTTTGCCTCACCGTCTTTTTGAAATAGCTCCAACATTGACAGGAGAACATGAGGCACACTGAGCTGTAAGTGAAAATATTAAAAAAAAAAAAATTATTACCAGCAACATTATGCTTTTCATGCTGCTTTTCTTCTGAAACTTATAGGGGAATGTTCTGTACCTGTAGTAATCAAGGCTTTCTTTTACTCTTTTAGAGGTAATAATTCCCAGTTTTGATTTGAATGCAAACTTCTCCTTAAAAAATTTCAAAACATCATTCAGTAATACATGTAGGATGATGCTGGGCTCGACACTAACAGTAGCCCACCAGCCACAGACTAGTAGAAATTCACTTTTGGCCAGTGGTTTTCAATTTCCACTAGCCAGTTTGGCTAGTAAACAGACTGAAATTGTTATAACATCTAAAAACATCTAAGACGTCACAAGCCACTTGGCTAGTAAGTTGAAAAATTAGTGACACACCCTGATGGTGGGATGGGTATGCCATAATCAGTGATGCGAAACAAGTAAATATGGACCATAGGAGATAAATACTGACATCCATGTGAATATGAAAAGAACAAAACAATTATAGAAAATTACATTGTAAACAATTTTTCTTTAGGTCACTTGTAATCTGCTCTTGTTTCTTTTCATTGTTCATTAGGGTCAGTTTGTTAATTTTTTCGTTTTTCATCAAGTTTAGATTTAAAAGTCAGTCTTGCCAACAAGATAAATTCTTAAAACAGGTGCTACGCCTCTTCCTCTTTCCCAGTCAAGTTTTCTCAGATTTCCAGGAAATCCTGAGGTCAAGAAACCTTACAGAAAACTACCCACAATGCCTTTTGGGATTGTCATGTGCACTTTTGTGCTTTTTTCCAACAACTTTTTTCCGCAAACAATTGTAAAAAAACTTCATGCATCCTGAGTTTTTGATTGAAGAACACTGTGGCACACAAAACCTTGCAAAGTAATTGGTTAAATGACCATTGCCAGCTCCCATACACAACCCAAGAAAGCAATGATAACACTACCTCATCTGGAATGACAAGATCAAGATTCACATCGCTGTCCTTCAGACCAAATCCAGTGAGGGAAGATCCATAAGGTAACACTCTACATTCTTTTCACAAAGGTTCAAAATATAGTACATTTTAAAATTAATAAAAGATTTAATTAATACATTATTTGTGTGGGATCAACACCCCTGTAGATCCAGAGCCAAAATTACACTTACCCTGCCAGTATAATGAAATAATGGAAGACACAAATGCACAACAATACTCTGAAAGCTTTTCCCAGCTGTTAAACAATGCACACTCAAAAAAAGTTGTTGGGAAACTTGTTCAAGCAAAACTTTGAAAGGTAGTGAATGAAGTATAAACAAAGAAATGAACAGTATAGAACAAAGTTTCAATCAACATGGACATTACCTGGAAACTTAGTGCACACAGCCTTATGGACATCTTTTGCTACCTCATCCCTCAAAGGTATATCTTTATCAGGGGACAATCCATGGTGTAAGAAAACAGAGTCAAGAAGCTTGCTCAGAGCCAAAGTTTGATGTTTGGAAGGTGGGGTAATCCGTGCGAGTGAAAAAAACTCTCCTTTGGTCTATAAGCAAAAACAAACAGGTAGAAAAATTCAGTGCACAAGAAAGATGTCCAATGTTTGTTACAAGTTTAGATCAAGATAAATCTGACTTTCCAATGAAGAATTAAAACTCGGATCTTCTAATTTTCATAGTCAGATACTCCATCAACTCAGAGGCTAAAGTACTCCTACTGGTACTGGACTGTACTGTGTTGTTTGATAGCTAAAGGTACATACTGTGATTGGCATGTTCTGTATACTTCTTACAAAAATNTACTAAATTGATAAAATGTTTTACAAAATCTTTTTTCATTGTTATGTCTTAAAAAAGATCTCACCCAGCAAGTAAGCAGTTGTGGCAGCTTGCTCAAAAACAAACAAACAAAAAACAGAAACAACAAAGAAACAATGAAAGCATTTTGCCTCACCGTCTTTTTGAAATAGCTCCAACATTGACAGGAGAACATGAGGCACACTGAGCTGTAAGTGAAAATATTAAAAAAAAAAAAATTATTACCAGCAACATTATGCTTTTCATGCTGCTTTTCTTCTGAAACTTATAGGGGAATGTTCTGTACCTGTAGTAATCAAGGCTTCCTTTTACCCTTTTAGAAGTAATAATTCCCAGTTTGATTTGAATGTAAACTTCTCCTTAAAAGTTTCAAAACATCATTCAGTAATACATCTAGGATGATGCTGGGCTTGACACTAACAGTAGCCCACCAGCCATAGACTAGTAGAAATTCACTTTTGGCTAGTGGTTTTCAATTTCCACTAGCCAGTTTGGCTAGTAAACAGACTGAAATTGTCGTAACATCTAAAAACATCTAAGATGTCACAAGTCACTTGGCTAGTAAGTTGAAAAATTAGTGTCACACCCTGATAGTGGGATGGGTACGCCATAATCAGTGATGTGAAACAAATAAATATGGACCATAGGAGATAAATACTGACATCCATGTGAATATGAAAAGAACAAAACAATTAAAGAAAATTACATTGTAAACAATTTTTCTTCAGGTCACTTGTAATCTGCTCTTGTTTCTTTTCATTGTTCATTAGGGTCAGTTTGTTAATTTTTTTGTTTTTCATCAAGTTTAGATTTAATTAAAAGTCAGTCTTGCCAACAAAATAAATTCTTAAAACAGGTGCTAGGCCTCTTCCTCTTTCCCAGTCAAGTATTCTCAGATTTCCAGGAAATCCTGAGGTCAAGAAACCTTACAGAAAACTACCCACAATGCCTTTTGGGATTGTCATGTGCACTTTTGTGCTTTTTTCCAACAACCTTTTTCTGCAAACAATTGTAAAAAAACTTTATGCATCCTGAGTTTTTTATTGAAGAACACTGTGGCACACAAAACCTTGCAAAGTAATTGGTTAAATGACCATTGCCAGCTCCCATACACAACCCAAGAAAGCAACGATAACACTACCTCATCTGGAATGACAAGATCAAGATTCACATCGCTGTCCTTCAGACCAAATCCAGTGAGGGAAGATCCATAAGGCAACACTCTACATTCTTTTCAAAAAGGTTAAAAGTATAGTACATTTTAATATTAATAAAAGATTTAATAAATACATTATTTGTGTGGGATCAACACCCCTGTTGATCCAGAGCCAAAATTACACTTACCCTGCAAATATAATGAAATAATGGAAGACACAAATGCACAACAATACTCTGAAAGCTTTTCCCAGCTGTTAAACAATGCACACTCAAAAAAAGTTGTTGGGAAACTTGTTCAAGCAAAACTTTGAAAGGTAGTGAATGAAGTAAAAACAAAGAAATGAACAGTATAGAACAAAGTTTCAATCACCGTGGACATTACCTGGAAACTTAGTGCACACAGCCTTATGGACATCTTTTGCTACCTCATCCCTCAAAGGTAGATCTTTATCAGGGGACAATCCATGGTGTAAGAAAACAGAGTCAAGAAGCTTGCTGAGAGCCAAAGTTTGATGTTTGGAAGGTGGGGTAATCCGTGTGAGTGAAAAAAACTCTCCTTTGGTCTATAAGCAAAAACAAACAGGTAGAAAAATTCAGTGAACAAGAAAGATGTCCAATGTTTGTTACAAGTTTAGATCAAGATAAATCTGACTTTCCAATGAAGAATTAAAACTCGGATCTTCTAATTTTCATAGTCAGATACTCCATCAACTCAGAGGCTAAAGTACTCCTACTGGTACTGGACTGTACTGTGTTGTTTGATAGCTAAAGGTACATACTGTGATTGGCATGTTCTGTATACTTCTTACAAAAATGTGACATTGAATATAAATGCTGACATTGCATTTTTAGTTAACTTTATGTTATAGAGTTCCCACACATAAGGCACCAGCTTCTCTTGGAACAGGAGTCATGCATCACTAGCCGGTCAAGTGTTTTGACTATTCCACACAAGCTTGAACCTTTATGTTTAGAAGCTTTTTGCTTTTTTAAGACTTAACTGCATGTCTTTTTGGTTTTATCAGGCCATTGTCACAAGTCCTAAGTTTACAGGTTAAATTAAGATAACTGCCTCCTGGTTAGCTCAATGGATAGAGCACTGGACTGTTGAGCGGGAGGTTGAGGGTTCGAGCCCGGCCGGACCAACACTCAAGGTCTTAAAATTACTGAGGAGAATGTGCTACCTTTCTACAATATCAGGAAATGGATAGACATTCTTAGACTAGCCTTCTCGGATAAGGACGAATAAACTGTAGGTCCCACCTCCTGCAGGGTTGGGGTAGGAGACATTAATTTCCCATGCACGAGATCCCTGTGTGGTGGATGTCCTCCCCTGGGGTGGGATGGGTGGGTACTAGGGCCTGCAGTAATTGGCGCAAGCTGTTGCGGGGTCCCTGCCTGTCGGCAAAGCTAATAAATTAAAATTAAATTACAGGGGGTTCAACAGAGGACATTCTAACCCAGAGTCACAGTAACACCAAAGTTACAACAGCTCAATTTAGCCATCGAGAGTGTCATGCTCTAATGAACAGTTCCTTATCTCCAGTTACATTGAGACTATCCTGAATGGAGACCGAGATGGTACAAATATATTCTGAGCTTTCTCTAAAATTGGAGTAAAAAAATTTCAAATGTTTCTTCCATGGTGTGATGTGGTGGCTAGACTGGATTCAAACATACAACCTTCTGATTTTGCACTCAGATCTTGTTATCTTAAATAGATTTGATTCACCAAAATACACCTGATCAACTGTGTACATGTCTCTGGTGAGAGAACACAATCATGTTTCTCACCTTCTTTGCTCTCTTGTGACCCTTGGTTCTCACATGTTCTTGACACCTTTTTAAACCTGCCAATTTTAGTTTGCATAGCTCACAGTAAAAGGGACCCTCTGAGCCCTCATTTGGATCCTAGAATGTGTCATGTACAGATACAAGAAGTCATAATTTTCTCCAATAATTAAAACACTCATAAACAATTCATTTTCAATGATATGGTTCAAATTTTCCTTGGTTCAAATATTCACAAACTTGTTCCATTTTTATTTGCCTTTGTTCATAGCGATACAGTATTTGAACTCCACTTGCATGCCATATAAATAAAACACCCCATAAGACTCCAAAAGACATCTGAAACTTTGAGCCAAAATTGTTTTCCCTTGGATTTCCCTCATACATTTTACTGCAATAGTATTATACCCTTGGTAACTTGATCTCTCCGTAACTCAATCCTCCTGCTAACTTAATGCTTTTTTTATTTCACTTCCAGTCATCCTCTGTATATTTTTTACTGTTGATAACTAAAACCACATCAAACCATGCCTATCAATATGTGACAAATAGAAACAAAGAGCATACACAGCGGTTTGAGTGATTTCTGTGGTAGTTTAGCATTCTATTTTCACTCAACTTCTCCAGGATTTAATTTCATTAAAATGTAAACTGAATGAATCGAAAAAAAAGTAAACACCAATAACTTGAACTTCAAATAACTCAAACCTTCTTCAATTTCCTTACAGGTGCAAGTTATTGGGACTCAACTAATTTAGAGAAGTCTTACGGTAGGTGTCACAAAGCAAAAAGAGGATAATGGAAACGAGATCAGTCTGTTCAAGAAGTTCACTCATAGTCTTTCCTTTTTCACTGGTATGACACACAAAAACAAACTTTAGAACCAATTGGACAACTAAAGGTCTTTTTAAGTACAGCTTAAGTTGATACTGTACTTTATATCAAATTTCCCTCTATATCACATCAAACCAAATCGCTGGTACACACCTTTACTTTGTCATCTTGCACTATAAAATGTTGAGACTCCAGCTCTTCTATTATCTTTAACAAATCTTCTAGACTTCTCTGATTCTCATTTGATTCTTCATTCCCCTGCAAGAAAACAATCGTTATGACAAGCAAACAAATAACTGGTGACTTTGTGCATGAGAGTACCATTGAAACCTTTGAATCCCAGCCCTCCTTGCAGGGTGAGATTGAAAAGTACAGGTGTAAGAATGAATTGTTACCTGTCTGAATAAAAAATTTACTTGCCTTGAAAAACTGATTGGAATTATTTTTCAGCCCTATACTGGTGGAGAGGTTAGGTTGGTTAAGAAAAAAGAAGCCTATTCACCAGGGTTAACACTAACTTTTCAACTTACTAGCCAAATGACCACTGAAAATTTAGATGTTACAACAATTTCAGTTTGTTTACTAGCCAAACTGGCTAGTGGAAATCCAAAACTACCAGCCAAAAGTGAATTTCTACCAGTTTGTGGCTAGTTGGCTATCATTTGTGTTGAGCCCTGCTTCAACCTAAATATAACCTCTACTTTACTTTACTTTATTCAAAGAGGGAAGCGTAATAACCTGTTACAGTTTTCTAACCTGCGGCCCTCAACCCACCCATCCCACTCCAGGGGAGGACATCCATCACGCCGTACTCTCATGCGTGGGAAATTAACGTCTCCTACTCCTAACCCTGCAGGAGACGGGACCTCCATTTATTTGTCCCTATCCGAGAAGACTAGAATATCTAACCATTTCTTGAAGTTATAGAAAGGTAGCATATTCTTCTCAATTATTTTTAAGACCTTATGTGTTGGTCTGGCCAGGGCTCGCACCCTCGACCTCCTGCGCAACAGTCTAGCGCTCTATCCTGGGAGGCGACTGGGAACCTCAAGACTGTTTTGTTCAATTTTGAGATCTCAAGCACAGTTTTCCCAATATGACCTTCACACACGTTAATGAATTATACATATTTCAAAAATTTCAAGTTAAGATTTTGATTGGAATCCTCATTACCAAGAAGAATTGAAAATTCTCTTCTACAATGTATTGATCCAGGGCTCAAAATTGTGACTCACTGGTTGCCAATGCGACCAAAAATTGACCTCTGGTGACTAACTTTTCAGAACTGATCGCCAGCTGGCGACTCGCATTTTGTCCGATAACTAAAGAAAACCACAAAACAACTTTTGCTATTAATTCTTTATACTAGGAAATCAATCAGGCATGATAGCTGGTATACAACTCACCTTTCCGTCCCCAGCAAAATGATTTCTGATTATTACAAGATAATAAAAAATATTGAATGTATTCGATACATCGATACAGCGTTCACGGCGCACCATGTTGTTTCAGCAGCTTCTCTTAAAACTGGGATCACAGGCGCACTTCAACACCATGTGCTCTTCATTTACCGTGAAAATGGCAGCAGATACAAATCAGTCGAACAATTTGGAGAAAGAAGTAGAGCTTTACAGCCGAAAATATTGCGTTCACAGTTAGGTAATTTTCCTGGGTTCCAGCTATTATCCACATCCCTGTAAGTGTTAATCGTGTTGTTTCCAATTGCTTTCGCTCTTCAATTGTGACTTTTCTTGCATGCAAAGTAAGGTATAAAATCGTGTTTTTGTGTAAGTTATAGATAAAATAAGTTGGCGACCAAAATTTACGATCTGGCGACTAAAATTTTTCTGTTAGTGGCCAGCTGACTCCTGAACCAAAAAGTTAATTTCGAGCCCTGTGATCATTACACGATAAATGTTATTCAATTTGACAACTTCTTGTACTAATAGGGTTGTTGCTAAGCATCAGCTGCAGGCGAAATTTGCCAGATAAAAAAGTGGTGATGGCCAGCTGAATTTTTTGGTGTTGATCTCTTAATAAAGCACAATGGGCACTTCTGAAATGATGCACTTACAATCTTTACGTATCGAACATTTACTTTACTCCATCTCACTTGGAATTTCACCCCACAGCCTATTTCTTAGCTTAAAGACTGCACGAGTATGAAGGGTATAACTTCAACAGTTAACCCCTCTACATCCTAACTAACCATCAGTATGCATATTCTCCATACTGTTTTCTATACATTTCCTAGGGTACTGACAAGGAGAATTTATTTAAGAATCAAGAGCTTCTTTAGTTAGTGATCATTTCCTTTATTCTCCTGACCTTAATACTTGATTTGATAGTGATAATGTAAGGAGAAATTAGGTGCTGGTCACTCCAAGGGGTTAAAGGGATGGTAAAATCTCACCTCCTTTTTATCCTCCGTCATAGCTGCCTTGGATCTGTTCTTGTGGGGAACACTTTTCCCTTCTCCTTCCTGTGTCGCTTCAGTTTGGGAATTCGTAGGCAATTCTTCTTTCTGATGCAAGTCTCCTGCGTTATTGGGGGTTCCAATAGGATTCCTCTCCTCGGACGACTCTGTAGCGATGTCAGAATTTTCCATTTCCAAGTGATCTTACTGCTTTAATGCACCTAGTTCATTCATTTTCTCAAAAATAGACAATTCCCTATTTCCAGCCGGAGTGTCAAATTAAGACTCAATATGCATTATTTATCTTTCAAAACAGTCGAAGGTTTTGGACATTATCTTCGACGAGACACGATCGGAACCAGTCATTCCTTCCGTTTTACATCCATAAGAACGACGCACGAGGCTTTAGGAAGCTTGAAACGTGAAAGTAAAAGCCAGAAAAACAAATCGCAAGTCCAAGGATTTAGCGAATTCTGAGAACCGCCATCGCAAAATGTCAACGCATTAGTTTTGTTGGGAATCCCCATTCATGCCAACATCGCGGGCGCTTGCTGTAGCGGCGGCGCGCTTGGTTTGTTTTTACGTGAAAATTACCATTTCACTTGCGGTATGTAAACGAGGAGGGCTTTCGGCGTTTCTCTACCAGAACGAAACCTTCTCTGGCCTGCTGCAACTAAAACAATCTTCCACCCTCTTCCTATCCTAGCCCGCCGTTCCTAATATGGCCGAAAAACGTCCGAAGTACATGAACTGGATTCTGGAATGCATCAACTTGCTTCGCAGTCGGAAATCTAGGCCCGACTTGGAGCGAATTTGCCGGACGATGCATAAGTGTCACGGAATTGATCAAAGAGACACCGAAGAGGATTTAGCAGCGCTCATCGCCAGTGGCATCGTGACTAAGAGGTCTTTTAAAGGGGCAATTTCTTATCGCAACGCATCTGGCTGGCACAGAGTCACAGGCTCCGGTAAAGTTTCGAGAGCCGCCCGATGGGTGAGCGAAGCAATTCGAGCGCTAGATCGTGGTTACGGCGTCAGCGCAGTAGATATTGAGAAATTCATAAGCGCTCGGCATCCCTATTACCATAATTTGAAGGCCAGGATCAAGATCGCGTTAAATGAAGACTTAGACCATGGAAGAATCTGGTCGATAAGCGAGGGTATGTATCGCTTACTCGAATCAGCTGAGGTAAGTCGTCAGTTGTTGACTAGAAGCAATATTCGCGGTCGAAATATCATTAGATCAGGCGAGCGTTTGTAGCGGAGAACGGATATGTTACATTGCTGTTACACGCTTGCATGAGACTCGGCATTTTCGTGAAATACAATTATTGTTCAAATCTACTTAACATCTCTAGCTTAGTGCACTTGATATTTATGATTTCTCTTCGCAATCCACATAACAAGCCTGAATCTTTACGCGTGTCGTAAATACTCAAAAGAAGTTTGTTTGCCATTTACAGTCGTTTGTATGGTAGACGAGTATTTCCGCGTCACGCATCAATTACAATCATCCCTTTCTTTTCCTTTGTTTACTTTTTGGTAAACTTCTAATGCGAAAGTTAACTCATTTAGACCTAAGAGTAATATCTGAAAGAAAATTATCACGCGAACGGAGACGTGCGCTAGGAATTACTGTTGTTGGTAGGAAAGGGGGTCAAATTAGATGTTATTTCTTTTTTTTTTTAATGAATGGTCATAAAATGATTCACTTATTAGTTAAACCATCGGGGATGATACTCTTTAATTCTTTGACTATTACTTGTAAAAAATTTCGCTTTTAGGTAATATTTAGGTAATCAAAACGAGGGGGTGTGGCTAAGGCATGGTCTCTGTGAGGATTTTCCTGCACATGTCTCTTTAACAATCTTATCAGTACGGTGGAACCTTGATTTGATGAAGTGCAAAGGGACTGGGGAAATTGGTTCGTTATATCAAGGGTTTGATATATCGAGGTTTTGTGGGATACATTTTACCATAACTTTAGCCAAGCTGAAGCTCACAGGTATCGTTTGTTATTCCGAGGATTTTGTTATATAGAGGTTCATTAAATCTAGTTCCACTGTAGAATATAAATCTATAGACATGATAGTGCAAATTTCAAACAAGTCATTTCTTTACAGCTGTAGATTCTGTGATACTCTGTAGCTTGTGAGTGTGAAGCAAGGAAGATTCACAGAATTTATAGAATTATGTCCAAGTTTCGTATCACTATTGCTGACATGGTTTCAACTGCCACAAAAAAGTTCAGTACATGGCAATTATATGTAAACTTCTCTTTGGGATTCCAGCTTTTGCACCTATGTTTTATCTTTTTTTCATTGATCCTCTTAGCTATAGGAACCACAAAAGTTCTACAGAAACCAGGCTGCACACCTACCCCTCCCATGACCTTACATCCTCAGCTTGTCATTAGTTGACTGTCACTAGCTTAGGGGAGGGGTGGGTGGACAGTTGCACAAATAATGTCTTTGTTCAGTTCTCTTTCACTATTTGGATTGAAAAAAGAAAAATTCCTCGAGACATCAATACTCTGTACATGCATCTAAAGTTTGTACGTGAAAGACAAATAGCAACTAGATTCAGGAGCCAATATTTGGAGTGTTGGACTGCCCTGTTGTTTATTTTTCAGTGTTTTCACATACAAGTCTATTTTTAGTTTGAATTTACCACAAAATGGGATTCCTCACGGAAACCCTTTGACCAATCATGATTAGTGTGTAAATTTTTAACTTGTCATTACAACAAAAGCATGTGAGCTTGAGTAGCCAATTTTCCACGAAACCGTTCTGTGGAAATGCTGCAACATGAGGCTCTGTACAGGAATAATTTGGATATATCAACAAAGTTGAAATGGTAAATTGGCCAC